AGGGATAAGGACAATGAGATCTTCTGTATTGATTCTCATTGTGTTGCATGTCCAGACCATGACCGTGTGTTGCACACGTTAGTAAACACCCCTAGCGCATCTTGCACTCTTAACATTGATCCTGGTGGCGACTATTCATATTGACACGGTAGCGGACCATAATGGTCATAGCAGTGTTATGAAGGCGGTACCCCCCAATTATGGAGGGGTAATTCGCACTCTGCTCACGGCGTCACACAAGGAGGCACAGACAGATGCGGCCGCACGGCGTCACGCACGGGGGGACAGACTGATGCGGCCTCACTGCGTCACGCACGGGGGGACAGACTGATGCAGCCTCACGGCGTCACGCACGGGGGGACAGACTGATGCAGCCTCACGGCGTCACGCACGGGGGGACAGACTGATGCGACCTCACGGCATCACGCACGGGGGGAAAGACATATACGGCTGCACGGCGTCACGCACGGGGGCACAGACAGATACGGCCGCACGGCGTCACGCACGGGGGCACAGACAGATACGGCCGCACGGCGTCACGCACGGGGGGCACAGACAAACTGCAGGTACCCACATGGTTTTACCTGGTACTGTGGGATCAGGGCCAAAGGGTTTGACTGGCTGCTATCAAACGTTAAGACATCAAAGACACCAACACAGTTCACACGCAACCTGGCGGAGAGAAGGGGAGGGAAAGACAGCAGCAACAGTTGGGGGGGGGGGGTGGCAGTACGCAAACAAGATCTTGCCCCTAAAGCCATCATACTCATAAAGTGCATTTCAGATACAAAACTTCCATAATTTCTTTAAAGTGGATCAATTTGGCTACCCTGAGTTGCTCAAGCAGCAGCAGTATGAAGCAGAGAGAGGACAACTTCATTACTCTCAGGAAAGAGAGCACCTCTGTACCTCCACCTTTAAGGGAGCCTCCCCTTTAATGAGCACAGAGAGCTGGCAGAAAGACAGCTTGCTGAGGGCATGTGAGAGTGCCTAGAAGGGAAAACCCCGTTTAATGTGGAAGACAGCTGGCAGAAACACAGCGGCTGTCTAGCTGACAAGTGTGCTGAGGCTGTGCGTCAAACATGCCAAGGCACAGACAGGAGTGGCGTACCTTTGCAGCAAATCGTGGTTTATTTGACCACACCAGTCAGCCCAGAAAGAGGAACCATGAAGAGATGTAAGTTTTCACTTCCTCATTGAGAGTCTTGACCCCCCCAACCACAGCTCCCCCCACAGTTCTACCTGGTCTTCCCGGTGATGATGATCTTGCTGGGCTCCATGAGTCTGCAGGCCAGGCCAGCAGTGTGAATGGTGCGCAGTGCCGAGCTCAACTGCACAATGTAGGCCCAGATGAGTGACTCGGGCAGCAAGCCGGCGTGCTGCCGGGGCGGGGGAGGTTCGTGCTGGCCAGCTGGGGACATGGGGAAAGGGGACACGCTCAGGGACATGGAGGGAGGAGGGGACAGGCTCAGGGACACGGGGGGAGGAGGAGGGTACAGGCTTAGGGCCATGAGGAGGGAGAACAGAGACACTCAACCACACAGGGGGCAAAGGGGACACACTCAGGGACACAGAGACACTGAAGCTAGTGCCTTGCTGCCACCCACGATGTACAGCATCATATCTGCAGGTGTCAGACACCACCGCCCCTTCCCACCACCCCGATTGTAGCTTTCTGTTCCTGACAGGGCTAAATGAGGGGGGGGGGAGAGTCTCAGCAGCGGGGGAGGGGGTTACAAACCACACAGCACCTGCACAAGGCCAGGCCTGATGTCCCCATTGTGATATGGGCCATGAGCCTAGCGGCCTAACCCTAACCCTCGGAGATGCAAAAATACAGCGCAGTGGCGGCCTGACGACTCACCCCACTTCCTCTTGGTGAAGTAGCAGTCGGCTGTGGGGTTGTTAAAGTGCCGGGCGGCCATGGTTTCTGCACCAGCGTGGAAGTCGTAGGAGAAGACCAGGGCTGTGGGGGTGGGGTGGGGGGGGCATTAAACAAAGAAAGACAACAGGCAGGCAGACAGCGGCACAGAGGACGTTTTTCCACCGTACCAGGTGTAGTACTTTTGAATGGCATTTTCCCTTTTCCAGTACCAGTAACAAACATTCCAGTACCTAAAGTACCAAACCAGCTGGGATACTTCTTTGGTACTTAGGCACTTTGGGGAGAGACTTACAAATGCTTTGTTTGTGAATTGGTTATACAAATAGCCTGCCTCTGAAACACAATGCAGGCGTCATCTGAAAAAAAAAGCTACAAAATCAGAAAACAACAGAGTTTAAAAAAGTAGTAATAATGTTTGCTTCAACAAATGAAGAGACTGAAGCTATAATATACTATTTTCCCAGTATCGCAATGCGATTTTGTTGTAATAAGTACTGGGGTATTTATAAAGCAAAAAGGAGTTTTGTACGAACCCACCAAGAAGTGATGTAAACAAAAAGGATGAAAATGATTAAGATTGTCCCAGAGAACACATGCAGTGCCCATGCAAAAGCAGCAGAGGTACCGGATGTGCGGGTTTCAGGCTCACTTTCAATATTCAAGTCTAGACTAAAAACACACCTATTTAGTTTAGCTTATAGGGACACTAGTTCTAGCTCTAGCTAGCTTCTCACTCCCAGTTAAACCTATAGTGTGAGGTGTAGAGCTGGGTGGGGATCGGTGCCATTGGCTTTGGATAAACTGAATTGACAGTGCTGTCACTCTAGCTTCACAATTGCTTGTGGGATTGGAGTGCTGACATTTCAGGGACTCCCCATGCCTGCATTCCCACCTGCCTCTCCCTCCTACTTATGCTGCCATAGCCATATCTGCTGGAGCATTGCACTTCATATTGCACTCATCTAACTTTTAGCACTGCCTATAGTCTCCCTTACTTTGACTAATTGCATTTATTTCCACCACCTTCTCCTGGGGGTGCTGCCTGGAGCCCTCAATCTATCAAGATGTCCAGCACACCCTGCAACATGTGACGTCGCCACTACCAATGACGTCCGTGCATCCAGCTCACCGTTCTGCCTGTGTCATCTTCCTTGTATGACCCACTCCCTGCCTTCTGGCTGCCTGGCAATTGGAGGGAGTGGTGGCACCGGCTTGTCATCTCCCCCCTGCTCCCGGTTTGTGTTTCAGATTTAACTGTATTTGACTCTCCCTGCCGGCCCCTGGAGGATGGGCTCCCCCTTTGAGTCTGGTCCCTCCCAAGGTTTCTTCCTTCTGGGGAGTTTTTCCTTGCCACTGTCACCTATGGCTTACTCACTGGGGGCTTTGGGTGGGGATGCTGTAAAGCGCTTTGGGACAATGTAATGTTGTGATAATGCGCTATACAAAAATAAATTTGTTGTTGTTGTAAACTTTATTTTTATTTTTTTTACATACACTACATAATCGTGAAAGGGAACAACTATTAAAAGCGCAAGCTTGCAAATTTTTTTTTCTTATGACAGAGTAAAAAAACTTAACCCCCTGCGCTATAATGTCCAGAGAGTATGAAGGTGTGAAAAAGTCTGATTTCAGCCCAGCTGACTCTCGCCGTTCCTGCGATGTGTGAACTGCATGTGCAATGCAATGCTGGTATTAATATCTCACATCGTCCAGCTCTATAATATACTACATTGATTTATCAAATTCAGTACCAGTTTTTACGCCAGTGGAAAACCAACACCTTGAAGTACGGTACCTGGTGCAGCAGAAAAGACAGACAAAGACAAAGACAAACATACCAGTGTTTTCTCTAGGATTTTTTTCTGCAGCGGGCCCGACCCCCTCCCACACCCCCCAAAAAGGGTTTCATTGCACCTGGGTCGTGTCTATGCACAGTAACGTGGCAGTCCAATTGAATATCAGGTATTAAATATGCAATAATATGATAGCCTGTGTTTAGTCTTCACCTTGTGTACTTCTCTCCTCTCCTCCTTCCCTCACTTTTGCTTCACGCGCCTTCATTACTCTTGCCTGTCTATTTGTGTTACCTGGCTAACTGTATTATATTTCAGACCGAGTAACATTAAGAAATTCTCTCACATCACAAATATCTGATCATGCAATCAGTAAGAACATTAAGATTGTAACAGCCACCTCTAATGTTACATATTGTAGAACCAAAGCATTTTTTCTTCAAAACTTCAGTACATAGCTGAGAACTTTGAGCCCCTCTACAGCTAAAGTAACGTTACCTGACTATCTTCCTCATCAACATCAGGCACCTTTCTCTTCTTACTCTTCTATTTTAACAAACTCATCTGAAAATGCAATCAAGAATATTTTAATACATAGATCGTACAAACAGCGTTGGAAATTATTTTACTGATGATAATATAAATAGCGTTACCAGTATTATGAATCACTGAGTTTGCTAATGTTAGCATTAGGATAGCTGGACCATTATTTCAGGATATATTAATAATAAATAGTTGGCCATGAATATCAAGAGAGAATTGAATCACATTACGAATGTTCTTTCAAACTGAAAAATCTAACTTAACATTAGCTAGTTAAATCTACCTTTATCTCACTTCTCTCTCTGTCTTTTTCTCTTTTTTTCTCTCTCCCGCTCGTCAGACGCATAGACCATAGACATCCAACTGGGTCAGGTGCATGCAAGGATGCACGTCGTCATGTGTCTCCACTTCCTGTATCCTTTGTTTCAAACTGAAAGCCCTCTGCAGAATTGTGTAATCATGACATTGTGTAATCATGACTGACAGACAGAGACAGACACAGACAGACAGACAGACAGACAGACAGACAGACAGACAGACAGACAGACAGACAGACAGAAACAAACATAGGTACATAGAGGCAGGCAGACAGACAGAGAGCACTCACAGTGGTCTCCGAAGGCCTTGGTGGTGAAGACCTCTCTGAGCGTGACAAAGTTTGAGTGCTGAATCTTCCTCCACATGTCCACCAGCATCATACACTTGGTGTTCATCAGCCTGAAGCCTGAACACACAGAGCACCTGGGATGTAATGGATGCCATGGGAGCTGGCACCCTCAGCAGGGCCCCATGTGACCACCCTCCTCCCTACCGTGAATCCTCCTCAGGCAGTAGGGCAGGTCATCTTTGCTGTTAACTGCTTTGTAACAGGAAGTGATGTAATTGAAGCTGCTGGTTTTCTGCAGCCGGTTGGGAGGAGGCAGGGGCTCCAGAGGAAACAGGCTGTGGTAGTTATCAACCTCAGTCGGGACATCTGAGTAAACAAAAAGCAAGCATAACCTTCTTGACGGTGTGTGCAGCAAAACACATTTTACAGTATTACAATGCAACACGCTTCAGGCCCACAAGCAGGGCCGTCACACACTAAAATGCTGACCTGCGCAGCACTGATGTAACCAGCACACTCACGCAGACAGAAGCAGCTTGACAGCTCCAGCATGATGCTCGCGCAGAGTGGCCTGTAAACATGAGCCGCACGGAGCAGAACCTCCGATGTACCAGGTACAAAACAAACGGGTTTCAGCAGGACCCAGTTGACGGGCCAGACCACCCTGTCCCAGAATAGGACACCCTGAGCAGCCAGTGTGGGGCAGGGCCCAGAACAGCAAGGGGCTCTCTGCACCACTAACACAGGTTGACACACATCAGTGGAGCGGCCTGATGGAACATATGCCACCAGCGCAGGCAGCTCTGATCATATGGCCTCAGTCACATGATGCCTCACCTAGGTTCTCAGCCTGGTCGATTTGCGCCATGGTTATCAGGTGCCTGTTGATTAGCTCCTGCAGAATGGGACACGCCACCAATCAGCGTTACTGCTAGGTAATCACAGTTACCAGTCAATCAGTAGCGACTGCCTTCAACACTGCCACATGAGCAGTGTTGGCAGAGCTACCCAATCACAATATGCATTATGGCTAGAGAGCATGCAATCTGCACAGAACATGGTGCAAAAAATGTGTACCGAAGCACATGGTCCATTCCACATTCTTACCCCCCCTCTACCCCCAAGGCGGGAGAAACACCTGGCGAAGCTCATCAGCCATGAAGAAGGATGGGGCATTGGCCTTGGGCTGCATGTAGGCCACGTGGGGGGGCGTGGGGGGATAGATGTGGAAGGTAGGAAACACCTGGGAGGGGGGAAGGAAGGCACACAGTCAGCAGGGGTCCAGCATCACAGGCAAAACACAGGGAAAACACAGGGGGAACACAGGGGGAACACAGGGGGAACACAGGGGGAACACAGGGGGAACACAGGGGGAACACAGTCACGTACCAGCCCCGCCATCGGGGAGGGTGTGCTGTCCGTGTAAAAGTAGGTCGTCCCACCCACTGTCTCCTTCTGGATCACATGACCTCCCACGGCTCCCGTGGCCGCCAGGTCTCCCAGGGCTGTGTAGCCGGCAGCCCCGGGGTAAGGGCTGGGTGTGTGGCTCCGACGACGGGGGGCTGGGGAGGTGTGGGGGGTGATTTTGGGCGAGTGGAGCGGGGAGGAGCCAGCAGACAGGGACATGCCTAAGGGGGGAGGGGTCAAAAGGATAATCACCCAAAACACAGTGACAACAAAAGCTTGGGGGGGGGGGGGGGGGGTCACAGCCAGAGCCGGGGACCAACCTGGGGCTAGGCTGGAGGCAGTAGTGCTGCCCATGCCTGAGTGCGAAAAGAGTGGGGAGGAGAAGGGGGGGGCACCGGAAAGAGGCACAGAGGCCAGGCAAGAGCCTGGGGCTGTCTTGGGGACGAACTCGCTGGCGGCTGGATTCGGAGCCTGCAGGAGACGCCAGGACAGGCAGCCTGTCAGACAACATGGGACAGCCACGCATTGACACACACACACACACACACACACACACACACACACACACACACAAAGGACAGGGGTGTGTGGGACAGCTGTGCGCACACGGGATGGGGTCTCACCTTTCTCCTTTGCGACAGGCTCAGAGCACCGAAGTCCCCAAAGAGAGTCGATACAGGGGAATTACCTGGATCTACAAGGAGGATGGAGCGATAGCGTGAGGCTCACAAAGTAGGAGTGAGTTTGAGCATATATCTGTCTGTCTGTCTGTCTGTCTGTGTCTCTCACCGTGTGTGCTGTAGTTCTTCATACTGTCATTGAGGAGACTTGGAGAGCTGCTGCTGCTGGTCATCCTCTACACAAGAATAATAAGAGTACCACATTCATACAAAATAAAATCTCACATACCAGGCTAGCCATTTAATGAAAGTCTAACCCTCATTAACATCCGTACTTTCCCACACATTAGGTTTAATACATGCAGGGAACTTTCCAGTAGAACTGTCAGACAAGTACCTGCATCATGGGGAATTTGGGCTCTGCAGGACTGCCAAACCCATTGACTCCAATAAAGCTGCTGCTGAAGTAGGAGTTAGTCAGGCTGGATTCAGTCAGGGCTCCACCATCCATCCCAGGGACTGCAGGAGAAAAGTGGACATCACACTCCCATAATGCAGTTGCAAGCCTCATCTATAGATGCTTCCAACAGCAGAGCCACCCATAGGGAACGACTAAGGGAACAACACCTCTCTAAGGCACCAGCTTCTGGGTGTGACATTCACAGCGATAGCACAAATTCGCACAAAGGTTTTGTTGCAACCAACCAGTTGAGTGTAAACAGTTGCAGTCATTTAGTACTGATGGTTGAAACAAAACCTTGGTCTGGATTTGTACTTTCCACATATGTCTGTAATGGATTATTTTTGTAACTTCCCCAAAACTGTTCCCCAGTAGGAAATAAGCTGAAGGCTGAAGCTGCTATGTGCCCAAATCATTAATGACACAGACCGTAGCTTCAGGGAAAAAAAAATCCGACAAGGGTGCAAAAGTCAAACTGCTATTTTTTTAATGTTCACATAACAACCGTTAACTTCTAGGTTGAATACAGGATTGGGACAAGTGCAGATCGTGGTGTGTCCATATATTGAAGGCAATGACACAGTTGTGTTTAACGCTAAAAAACCTTGGAACCGGAATACGTTTACCATTATCCAAAGAAAAATGCATTGTCAGGGGCGTGGAGTCAGCTATCAAACGCCAATCACAGTCGGAACAGCAGTGGGCGCCCGCGGGAGCGACCAATCGCAGGCCGCAGTGGTGATGACGCGCCGGCCCCAGCCGAACGGCTGGATGAATGGGGATGTAAACAGAGTGTGGGAAGGAGAGAGACCACCGACTAACGGTGGGACGAGCGACACGGGACGTGGGTACAGCGCTGGGGAAAGGGATACGCTGGCCGCGCGGTCCCCGGCTGAAGCCTCATACACAAAGCGTGTTAGTAACGAGAGATGGCACCAAGCAGCCCATCGTAAACCGCTTTCCGCCGTAACTCTCCACTACCGCGGAGCCCCGGCGTGTAAACACAGTGGTGAGCCCGCGGGGCGCTGAGGGTCCCCGCCGGGAAGGCAGACGGAGATGCGGGGCTACTCTGGGGCCGTTTCAATAATGACAATACTGACAGCTCCCAGTAAGAACAATAAGAGACCGGACACCAGCATCGGAGCGCATCGGGGCCCCTGCGGACTCACGGCTCAGCAGCTGTCCGTCCAGAAGCGCGCCTCCAGCCCCCACCGAGTCGTTCTTCTTGGGTACGTTTGTACCCGCAGCGGCCGAGGCGGATCCTCCTAGCGGGTAGGCAGCGGTCCCGGCAGCGCTACTCAGGGCCAAAGGGGCCGGAACGCTCGCGCCGCCGTGCGCCGACAGGCCGGCCGCGGACGGCTCTTCGTGCAGGAACTGACAATCGTCTCCATAAAAGCAGGTCTTGTCTTTTGCGTAGTAGCGGCAGAGCTTCACCTTGGCGCAGGGAACGGCGGCCCCCCCAAGCGCGGCGGCGGAAGCTGGAAGCCCGCTATTCATGGCAGTGCTGCCGCCCCAATGCGCTGGAGCCTAGAGGGACGCCGTGCATCAGCAGCGAAATGGCGGGCGGCCGCTTTGAATTATCCAGCCACAGGGCCGACAGAGGCGCATAAAACTCTAGGCATCGACTATTCAGCGGCACCACAAAGGTGCTCGAATATATGGCCAGCGACGATGCGAGTGAAGGCGAACAGGCGCTCGGGCTTATTTTTCCTTCTCTTCCTACGAGCACAGGGCGCGATGCATTATGGGTATATAGACAGGGCTGCCAGCCCGGCTCTCTGGGCTTTTTTCCCCTCGCTTTCTATGAGCAGAGGCGCGGTGCATTATGGGGGCATATAATCGGAGGTCTTGTCCACCATGCAAGACCAGCGTTTGTTTCATGGCCACTCCTTGGCTTTTTTTGCTGATGATGGCATTAATGTGTCATATTGCGATGCAAATTATACTGAAAAACATGAACATTTTTTCTGTCTAAGACTTTTGTACAGTACTGTGTATATGTTTAAATATACAGTACAGATATTTTATGGGTTCCACTGAAATAAAGGTAGCTAAATACAAAAAAGAACTCGGTATGTATGTTGATGCTTCCATGTCCCACTCTCGCCAATGTGGGGAAGCAATAAAAAAGGCGAACAGAATGTTGGGTTATATCTCTAGATGT